CACTTCCTCCACTAACGTATGCTAAACTAACTAGCAGACACTACGCAGAACATCGACGTTGTTCAAAACTCCTCCTTCTTTGTTGATTGACCCAGGTTGAATAAACTACAAGCAGACACTGTGCAGAAAATCAATGTTCTGTTCTCTGATTGGCCCAGCTAAAAATCTGCCAGTGAAATCCATCTCAATGGGAGAAATCCCAGACGGAGCAGTGAAGCGACACTAGAATTGAGCGGAGCTGTGTAGGAAGGCCAGGGCCAGGCTAGGGAAGGAGAGAGCAAAAAGCGTCCAACTCCTCTGAAGGCCAAGCAGAAATTTTTTTACCAATATTTAAATCAATTATCACTTTGATCAGTACATTGTTAATATCTGGATGGGCCTTGTACTACTGTAGATTCAAGAAGTTGGGCCCCAAAGTCGAAAAGGTTAAGACCAGGTCTTTACCCTTGTAGAGTTGCTAAGGGGGTCAGAAAGTTTGGTTCTCTAGCTTACATGTGTTATGTGGACCATTAAAAATAATGCCAATTAAAATAATCTGTTAATATCATCTGATGCTCACAAAATGGCCATCTTGTTTGACAGTTATCACCGGTCATTTTCAACACAACAGAGGCATGTAATAAATAAACAAAGATAGGCATAAAAATAAAAATAAACAGATTAGAAGTTAGCATTAACTTGTATTCATCATTATGTGATTTTGCTTGCTGTGGCTACCCCTTGACAAAAGGGAGCAGCCGAAAGGGGGAAAAACCCAACTCCTACTCACTTGAATATCTTGCCCTTAAAACATTAAGATTGTCCTAAATTCCTTTATCTCGAAAACTGCAAGCCTTTATTATTCAAATTCCTGATGGAGACATCAGCATACTGCTTATTGTAGAGTAGTTTGACATGCCAAATCCCTTCTATTTGAAAATCACGCACATTAAATCACAAACATATTGCCACATTTTTACACTGTTCTATTTATTCTTAGGTGTCTTTACCTATACAATGCACCCTTTGGCACCCCCTGCTGGTGTGGACCCCGATACCTTAGTTTACATGAACTTCATGAAGAGTCACAGCTGCTATGATGCCATGCCCACCAGCTCCAAACTGGTCATCTTTGACACCTCACTGCAGGTAGGACTTTCTTCAGCAAAATGACTCAAAAAAAAAAGAAAGAAAGTACTGACAAGGTTTAGATTTAATGACAATGTGTTTGCTTTGGTCAGGTGAAGAAAGCTTTCTTTGCTCTGGTGGTGAATGGTGTGAGGGCAGCGCCACTGTGGGACAGCAAACTGCAGTGTTTTATGGGTGAGAAGAACCACATGTCTGTGTATTTCCAATTGCTGAATAGTGGACAATACGATCGATACACGCTACTCACAAAGTGAGTATTGATACAATAATTTTACTTTATTAACAAAAGGCTCTTTTACAAAAGATTTCTAGAATAATCAGCACAAAGACTAATGTATCTCTAGATTAAAATACAAATTTAAATTCAAATATGTTACCTCTGCCCATAACTAGGATTGAACTAGGATTCAGCGTTGATTCTGAGGCTTCAGTTCTTCTCATTTTGATTTTTGTTCCTAACGATTCTCAGTTCCAATTTAATTTAGAGGCAGGGTCAAAAAAGTTTACATGGTTCAAATGAGGTAGCTAACCAGAGTTCTTTCTAGATTAAATAGTCTTAACTTCTCTAAAACTTTTTAATATCTGTGAGCTTTTTTACTTTTTTATGAACTTCAGTAACCCACTATATAAAAATATCAAACATTTGAAACTGAACATAAATGTTATGAATTCACTTTGCACAGGGGTAATCTGAATTACTACACTGGCAGATTATTTCACTTAGTTTCAGAAGATTCAGACTCAAATTAAGTGAAATAATCTAACAGTGGAATGAGACAATTGCGCTTGGTAATTAAGACTTCTTGAAATAAAGAAAATTTCCAGGATAACAAGTTTAACAAGATAGAACTCGACACCCACCATCGCTGTCATCCCCCATAGTGACCTGAAACTGTTAGCAGTTTTGTTAAAATCATCACAGGCCTTCATTATTTAAATAATCTCATGCGGTGAACAGACGGGGGGGCTAAAGTGATCTTGTCAAACTACTACACAAACGTGTTGAGCTTAARTGAATGTTAGATGCAGTTTTGTATTTTATACTTTCTGACCATTTCAGCCTGTAAGGTTAAAGCAGACAGTTGATGTGTGTCTTATGTGTTCTTACTTTAGTCTAAACAAAATGAGTTACGCTCTACGTCTGACATAAAAGGTAACACCTCCAGGGATGTAACCAGGAAGAAATGTACATTAAAAGTAGAAGGAAGTTGTCAGAATGTTGTGGAGAGACGGCTTCAGAGCAGGGCGGCTGTGTTTTGGTTCAGCCCAAGGTCTTACTGAGGCCTGTGTGCTGTACTGTGAACCTGACTGGAGTCAGAAGATTGAGAATAAAGTTTTAAGAAGAAATCCAGCAGATTCCTGTTTATTCGGACATACCACTTTGAACAACGCATATTTTTCCAACAATTTTGTGACCACCGACTGTGATGGATGATCTTGAATAAGCAGAGAACATTGGATTTTATTTTTGGCTGCTGAAGAACCTGGGAAGATTTTGAAACATCAACTGTTGAGAGTGAGTAAATGCTTCAAGATGCCTCTTTTCTTTTCCAAAGAGGATTTCTGCCAGCTTCTCCAAAAGGTGACGGTGTTGGAGCTCAAGATTCATCGTCTGGAAGAGATGAATGCTTTGGAGGACTCAACATGCGTTCAAATGGGTGAGAAGAGATGAGCGATCAACTGGACGAGGAGAAGCTGCTTCTGAGAGTGAAGCTGGAAAACGAAGTCTCTCTCGGTGCCAGACCAAAAAATCTCTCAGGAAGGATTCAGCTCTTAGATGACAAKGAATGGCCAGAGTTACAGAGAAATGCTTTTTCTCCTCCAGCAAGGAGAAGAAAGCAGCGACAGGCTGGAATCAAAACAACTGATAACAGCCAGAGAAATGAAGACAGAGCAGTGTTTCTTCAAAACAGATTCACACCACTGGAAGAAACTGGTGAGTCTGAACATGCCATGAGGAAGTTTGGCTTAAAGACACGTCCCATGGGCGTTTCTGGTACCAAAAGGTAGTGTTGTAGTCAAGACCACCTAACCCGAGACCAAGTCAAGACCAGGACCACAGTGTCTCGAGACCGAGACAAGACCAAGACTTTTAGGGTTTGGACCAAGTCGAGACCAAGACCGAGAGAGGGCGAGACGGAGACAAGACCAAGACCAAGAAAAAAAAGTTTCCTAAAAGATGAGAGTATTCTGTACTCATGTACAGTGGGGGAAAAGTATTTAGTCTCTCATAGTTGAGGCCTAACTATGATGTCAATCACAGGCCTGTCTCATGTTTTTAAGTGGGAGAACTTGAACAATTGGTGCTGACTAAATACTTTTTAGTCCCACTTTAGCTAACTTAATATGTAGAGCTAATATTGATAAAATCTTTGTGTGAGGGCAGAGGAAATAATTTTGCTACAGAGGCAGCTTGTTAACATTAGAGATGATAAAAGTTTGATGTTGTCCCCACTGTCTCTGAAAGTGAAGCACTGCCGAATGTACAAGCTGCTGTAAGCTTTCTCTTGGTTGTTGTTGTTTTACAATGATATTATTTATCAATAATGTAGCCAAATTTTATAATTAAAAAATTTGACGACATCCTTTACCGCTCCCAGAGAACCACGGTGCACTTTCTGGGAGTGCTGCGTGCGAGTGACGGGGGGTGGAGATGGGTGACAGTCAGTAACAAAAATACATAAATAGCAACGAGTKAGGTTTGGATTTGATGTTTTAAATCCAATGAAAGCAAGAATGTTAACAAGTAAATTGGACACAACATTCTGGCTGTTTAGTGATATTTCCACAGTTGTGGTCTTGACTGGTCTTGAAATAAAATTCCGAGTCCTCAATGTCCYAGACCGAGACAAGACCAAGACCATCAAAAAGTGGTCTTGAGACCGGTTTTAAGACCAAGACCGGTTTCAAGTACTACAACACTACCAAAAGGTGTTTCTGGTCCCCACCTGTCGTTTTGCTCCTCAGCATGGCTTCATAAAAATGCTGCAGGATTTCTCAAACATGCATGAATGAGTCAAAGTAAAGGTTTGGCCATGTTTTATATATAACATTATAACATGATATAAAACTCAAAAAAGTTGATTTTACATGATATTGCCCCTTTAATGCCCCCTCCCCCCTTACATTCATTTTCACTTTCATATTTTAAGTAGTTTTAAAACCAGTAGGTTTATGGTTTTACTTGGGGGGGAAAAGCTTGAGTTGTTTATTCAACTTCTACAGAAGTAATTATTTCTACCTCTGTGGTAGAAATAATACTTTTATGTTTAAGCAGGTGATTCATGACATCCTTTAATGACCTAGATTTTCCTGACATGC